CCATGGAAGAACAGGTATTGTGTTAATTTGCTTGTGTGTAAAATATCTTCATTGACATTGTATAATTTGAAAGACTTTGCTGCTACAGTGCCAATAGTAGTAATTTATTAAAGTTAGTTTTGTCATTTTATTTTGCAGAGTGAGGAGGCCACAGCAGTTAGTTCATCTCCAGTGACAGGACACTCAGAGGCATCATCTCCTCCTGTCAAGAAGTCAGCCATTGCTGAACTGTTTGGTGAACTCTTCAAGACTCAGGTGGGAAACAAGCCTACTTTGCAGCTAGTGAAGGAAGAGGTTACCTTATACAAGTCTGTGGACTGCATTTCACTGGATTCCAACCCACTTGAATGGTGGAGGACCAATGAGCCCACATATCCTCATATTGCCAAGTTAGCAAAGCACTACCTTGCTGTACCTGCTACCTCAGTCCCTAGCGAGAGGGTATTTTCTACAGCTGGAGACATTGTAACTGCCAGTAGATCTTCCCTTTCTGCAGACAATGTGGACAAGTTAATTTTTTTGACAAAAAACATGAAAGTTGAATGAATCTGAGCAGGTCTAAAAACTGAAACTGTTGATGCTGCACTTTACACTTTGTAAAATTTATATATATATATTTTTTTTTTTCATATGAGCAGGCCTAAAAGCTGGGATTGGTAATGCTTCACTGTTATCCATAGTTATTTATTTTTTTTCATTTTATTTTATTATGTGATATTAGTTTGAGAGGATTTTATTTCGTGGAGAATTTTGCAGCAATATTTTATTTCTTATTCTTTTTTTGTTTTATATATATTTTATTTATATTTAATTAAAGTGTGTTTAAAAAAGTTTAAACAAATTGTTAAAAAAGTGTAAACAAATTGTTACAATAAAGTTTATAGTAAACTAAACAACCAGCAGTTTAATGTTTGCATTTATTTCCCTTACTGTACCGAAAAATAACCGAACCGTGACTTTAAAACCGAGGTACGTACCGAAGCGTGATTTTTGTGTACCGTTACACCCCTACACATTATACTGCAAATGAAGAAGGTTTGATGGATGTGTTATCTTGGGCTGTTGAAAAGCTCAGTATCGAGTGGCCAGCTGATAGACAGGAGTCTAGAAATAAAAGCAAACTAGATGATAGATTTCTGTCTGCACGACCTCAACCTTCTCGCCGGTGCTTACCGTTCTTCCCAGATCTTCATGCTGAGGTTTCAAAGACCTGGGTTAGACCGGTTTCAAGCAGAATTTACACTAATCAGTCCAATGCTTATGGTGACATTTTTGGTGCTAAATCTGCTGGTTATGTGACGATGCCGAAGGCGGAGGAGACGCTCGCGAGCTATCTCTCTCCTGCTTCGTCGTCTTCACTTAAAGCACCGGCTCTTCCATCTAGACCACTAAAAAATACCTCTGTGCTGGTGGGGAAGGCTTACTCGGCGGCTGGGCAGGCGGCTGCATGTTTGCATAAGATGGCTATTATCCAGGCTTATCAGGCCGACCTGCTCAAAGATGCGTGTGAGGGGGGAGAAATTTCTGCAGATATGATTAGCGAACTTAGGTAGACTGCTGATCTCACTCTTCGTGCCACCAGAGAGACCGCAAAATCTATCGGTCGATCTATGGCAGCCATGGTGGCCACAGAAAGGCACTTATGGTTGAGTCAGACCTCTATGAAAGAAAAAGACAAGACTCTCCTTTTAAATGCTCCCGTTTCGCCTGCGGGTCTCTTCGGTGACGCTCTTCACTCTGTCACGGAGAGGTTCCAGGAAGAGAAAAAACAGGCGGCTGCCTTTCATAAGTTTATCCCTCTAAAAGTGCGTGTCACTGGGGCTGCTGAACGAGGCCAATCCCAGCCGTCGAGTTCGTCTTCCAAAAGAGCACAGCAGAAGCGGAGTGTCGCGTCTCGTGCCCCCCCACAGAGAAACTGGAGGGACGAGGTGGGGCGTTCTCCGGCGCGGCCTTCTCGGGGCAGGACTGATCTGAGGACAGTCATTGTCGCCAGGAAGGCCGCGTCGAAAAAGTCCTGACGGGCTGAACGTCAGGACTCTGAGGGTGGTCCCCATCGGGAAAGACTTGAGTTCACCGCACAAAAACACGGTGCCCTGTCTTTCTCGATGCCCTCAGGGGTCTGTTCTACTAACCCTGCCCCTATACAGGGCGTAGAGAGACTCGGCGAGCGATTTCCCGAGGGACGCTCGCCCCCTCCGAGGAGGGTTGTGGAGTGCTCAGACCAGCTGTTTCCTGCCAGTATGTTACAGGGCGCTGTGTCTGTCACTCGGGATGTTCATCCAGAGGCCAGCCTCGAGAGGCTGGTTCCCTTAGTAGAGTCCTGACGGAATGGGAAATGCTTCCCAATGTTTCTATTCAGTTCAGAACGCGTCCACCTCGGTTCAGAGGGGTTCTGCCTACTGTGGTGGGCCCCGAGCAGGCTCTGGTATTAGAACAGGAGGTAAAAACTCTGCTGCAAAAAGGGGCTATAGAATGGGTTCCCCCACCCAGCAGGGAGTTAGGATACTACAGCCGGTACTTCGTTTCGAAAAAAGATGGAGGGCTTGTCCCATTCTAGATCTGCGTCTTGTAGGGAAGCTCAAATTCAAAATGCTCACTCTCAAGCAGATCGTGTCACAAATCAGATCCGAGGACTGGTTTGTCACGATAGATCTAAAGGACGCTTACTTCCATGTGTCTATCCTCCCTCAACACAGGAAGTTCCTGAGGTTCGCTTTCGGGGGCGAAGCGTACCAATATCGGGTTCTTCCGTTTGGCCTAGCACTGTCATCCCGCACGTTCACGAAGTGTATGGATGCAGCTATAGCTCCGCTCAGGCTGCAGGGCATCCGTATTCTGAACTATATAGACGGTTGGTTAATTCTAGCTCAATCGGAACAACAGGCGGTTTGGCATCGAGATGTTGTTCTTGCTCACATCAAGAGATTGGGGTTGAGGCTCAACGCCAAGAAGAGTGTTCTTTCTCCATTACAGAGAACCACTTTTCTCGGTGTAGTGTGGGATTCGACTACGATGCAGGCACGATTGTCACCTGCTCGTGTTGCTTCGATTCTCGCCGCAGTAGATCAGGTCAAGCTAGGCCAGTCGTCCACTGTAAAACAGTTCCAGAGACTGTTAGGTCTCTCCATCACCGTCTGTGGCACATAAATTGTCTAGAGATGTTGGCAGTGTTTCAGGCTCTGAAACACTTCCTCCCAGACCTAAGGGGCCACCATGTTCTTGTCCGAACAGACAACACATCGGTGGTCTCTTATATCAACCATCAGGGGGGTCTGCATTCTCGCCCACTTTACAAACTGGCACGTCAGATTCTCCTATGGTCCCAGGGGAGAATTCTTTCTCTGAGAGCTATTTATCTCCCGGGGTATTTAAATCAGGGGGCAGACATCCTGTCAAGACAGGGGCCGAGGCCCAGGGAATGGAGTCTTCACCCCGAGGTGGTGGAGCTCCTATGGGAACATTTCGGTCGTACCGAGGTAGACCTATTTGCTTCCCGAGAAACATCACACTGTCCTCTGTGGTTCTCTCTCAGCCCTCCAGCCCCGCTGGGGTTGGATGCGATGGTACATCCGTGGCCGAGGTCACGTCTGTACGCATTTCCTCCGATAGCTCTGCTCCCGGGAGTTCTGGAGAGGGTTCGCCGGGACGGGCTCAGTCTTCTGCTAATTGCCCCGTTCTGGCCGGCTCGAGTATGGTTTGCGGACCTAGTGTCTCTCCTCGACGGCTTTCCCCTGGAGATACCGATCAGGAGAGACATACTCTCTCAGGCGAACGGGTCGATCCTTCACCCCCGCCCAGAACTATGGAGGCTATGGGCTTGGCCTCTGAGGGGGCCCAGCTCATAGATTCTGCTCTCTCGACTGAGGTCGTTGAGACCATCCTCCAATCCAGAGCTCCCGCCACGAGGAAGTTATATGCCACGAGGTGGAAACTTTTCACCTCTTGGTGTGGAGAGCGCCTGCAGGACCCAGTTAACTGCCCGGTTGGCACAGTGCTGGATTTCCTGCAGGACCGTCTCCCCACTGGGTTATCCCACTCCACACTGAAGGTGTACATGGCGGCCTTAGCTGCTTACCACGCCCCTTCAAGTGGAGGTTCCCTCGGGAGACATCCACTGATATCTCACTTCCTTCGTGGCACCTTGAGGCTACCTGAAAATAGGCTACCTTCCGTCAACACAACGGAACTATTTTCAGGCGCTGCGTCATATCATTATGCCTGCTGCGCTCATGGTACGGCAGTAAAGTTTCTTGATTATTACGCAGGAATGAGAGTATAGTTCCTAGCCATATCAGCCTAGAAAATCGCAACTTTACATTTTCCGTCGGTCTTAGTGCACGATGTAACTACAGAAGAGTCCAGTTTTAAATAGGAAAAATGTCGAAACTCTTTGGTCATTTTTTTTTTTAGAAATGCTAATGGTCTTGTCCACTTCAATGATGTATGCTAAGCTATGCTAAAAGTGGTACCGCCAGAACTGGAGATCGGCTGAATGGATTCAAAAACCGTACAACAGTTTAACTCTGGCGGAGTTGTAAAATGAGCCTATTTCCAAAAAAGTGGAGTATCCATTTAAGAGAAATTCAACATATAACAAATAATAATACATCTATGTAAAAATATGCAATCTACTCCACTTGACTGCAAATTAGTTGGTCTTCTTTTAATTTAACTGATGCATTAATCTCGGCCACAAGGCTTCACTTGATACAAATGCAGGTGTCCTACATTTACATGCATATAAATGGAAGTAAATGGAAGAAAAAGTCTAGTGTGACCAGCCATTAAGAAGTTTAGAAAATTAAATTAAACGGCAAACTAAAAGTTGGTGCCATAATTATGGCAGTATTCTCTATTATTTAATGTTAATATTAGATTAGGTAATTGTGTTGTTCAAATAAAATTGTAGTTCTCACTACAGAAACATGGGATATGTGCCTATAATATTCAATAACTGAAAGATTTACTGAAAATGACTTTTTTTTCCCCTTTCATTTCAGACCTGATGGAAGTAAAGGAGGAGAGTGAAGAACTGAGTGAAGTGAAGGAGGAGAGAGAAGAACTGAGTGAAGTGAAGGAGGAGAGTGAAGAACTGAGAGAAGTGAAGGAGGAGAGTGAAGAACTGAAGGAGGAGAGAGAAGAACTGAGTGAAGTGGAGGAGGAAAATGTTAAACCTAGGAAAAAACCTTTGAGTCGCTCAAAGACTAAAAAGACATCTTTTAAGAAAAGAGACAAGAAATCTACAACCTGCACTCAGTGTGGAAAGAGCTTCGTATATAAACAAAGTCTTGTGAATCACATGAGAATCCACACCGGAGAGAAGCCTTTCTCATGTGATCAGTGCGGGAAGAGCTTTGCATACAAACAAAGTCTTGAGCTTCACATGAGTGTTCACACTGGAGAGAAGCCACATGCATGCCGTCAATGTGGGAATAGTTTCTTGCGATCATCTCAACTTAAGAAACACATGAGAGTTCATACTGGAGAGAAGCCGTTCACATGTGATCAGTGTGGGAAGAGGTTTCCATACAGAGAAGGTCTTAATGTTCACATGAGGAGACACACTGGAGATAAGCTGTTCACTTGTAATTGCTGTGAAAAGAGATTATCGAGCAAACAACAACTAAAGGTTCACATGAGAGTTCATACTGGAGAGAAACCGTTCACATGCACTCAGTGTGGGAAGAGTTTCTCAACCAGAGAAAATCTTAAAGTTCACATGAGGATCCACACTGGAGAAAGACCATTCACATGTGATCAATGCGGGAAGAGTTTCACACAGTTGGTAAAACTTAAAGGGCACAGGAATATCCACACCAGAGAGAGGCCTTACACATGTAATCAGTGTGGGAAAACGTTTATTTTAGTATTAGCCCTGAAGACACACCTGACAGTTCATACGAAGGAGAAACCACATTCATGTTCTGTGTGTGGAAAGAGTTTTTCACGGCTGCCATATTTACATAGACATAAGAAAATTCATACTGGTGTAAAAGATCATGTGTGCTTTGAGTGTGAGAAGTCTTTTATTTCAGTGGCCTTTTTAAAACAGCACGAGAGAATCCACACTGGAGAAAAACCTTACAAGTGTTCACACTGTGACAAGAGATTCAGTCACTCATCATCTCTGAAAACACATGAGAGGATCCACACTGGAGAGAAGCCGCACACGTGTGATCAGTGCGGAAAGAGTTTCTCTGTTAAATTTCAACTGAAGCTACACATGAGTATCCACACTGGAGAAAAACCTTACAAGTGTTCACACTGTGACAAGAGATTTAGTGTGGTATCATCTCTGAAAACACATGAGAGGATCCACACTGGAGATAAACCTTACAAGTGTTCACACTGTTACAAGAGATTTAATCACTCATCAACTCTGAAAAAACATGAAAGGATCCACACTGGAGAAAAACCTTACAAGTGTTCACACTGTGACAAGAGATTCAGTCAGTCACAACATCTGAAAATACATGAGAGGATTCACAGCAGAGAGAAGACGCACACGTGTGATCATTGCGGGACGAGTTTCTCTTTTAAAACTCACCTGAAGCTACACATGAAGATCCATTCAGTGTAGAAACCACTTAAACACAGTCTGAAATCACAGTAAGTACACTCTTAGAACAGATGTGTTAAAAACAACACATAATGTGTTCAATGTTAACACATGTACTGAATCAGCTCAGGGACAACACATATTGTCAAATTTGACACAACTTATGTGTCCCTTTCCTTAACACATCTATTGCAGACTGATCTCATGAAATGGCGTATGTATGACACGCCAATTCGTATTTCCATTTTTGGCGTGCTATCAACACGCATAATCGCTTTTCAGCGTGTTTATCAACGCCGTTGACTTAACGTTATATTACTGTATTATGTATATATAAATATATGACCTACCCCAACCCCGTCCCTAAACCTACCCGTCACTGGGGTTAATACCATTTATGAGTCTTTTCCTACCATCCTAGGAAAAGAAATATCGCTCCACAGATGTAGATATAGATTTTGCTTCGTTTCGCTCGGACATTTAACGGCGTACACATACACGCGGAATCACTCGGACATTTAATGGCGTAGACATACACGCAAAAGATTTCGGCGTGGACATACACGCGGATAGCTCAAAATGCGTATAGATAACACGCCACTTGAATTGAAAGTGGCGTGTATGTTTACGCAAAGTCATGATGTCATGTTGTCTATTGTGTCAACTAGGTCAACACAAATATGTGTTATTTTTACACAAATATGTGTTTACTTGTGTTTTGATGGATTAATGTGGAATTAAAAATGTATGATTAAAACATTTTGTGTAGACAATTTACACATGTGCAATCAAGAAAGAAACATGTACATTTGTTCATGTAAATTTATTACAGATTAGATTTGTTTCACATAAAAAAAACGTGATTAAATCCGTTTCTGTTATCCGTAATACACTCTAAAAAGAGATGTGTTAAAAATGACACATGTTGTAACTCATAAATAACTTGTGTTTACACTTGCCTGTTTGTTTGAGAACATAGCAAATGATGAGTTGAAAACAACACAACCTGTAAAAGAGATGTGTTAAAAATGACACATGTTGTGTAGATTTTAACACATGTGGTGTGTGTGCTCAGGGACAACACATGTTGTGTAGATTTTAACACATGTGGTGTGTGTGCTCAGGGACAACACATGTTGTGTAGATTTTAACACATGTAGTGTGTGTGCTCAGGGACAACACATGTGTCAAATTTAACACACAACCTGTGTTGATTCTTAACACACCTCTGTGTTTATAAGGACTACACATTTTGTATTAACTTTAACACAACTAATCTGTTATTACTCTTACACAGAAGTGTGTTCAAACCTTTTACACACTAATGTGTTATAGTTGCACAACTTGTGTCAGATATTACATGTGACTGTATTCGGTGTGTATTTGCCAGAGTTACTTCCTGTGTTTTTACAACTGAGTGTTTGGATGAACACTGAAACGTATTGTTAACTTGTGTTTATGTAGTCCAGTGACGTTTAATAAAGAGTTTGTTTGAACATTTGGATGGTTTAGACATCATGAATCTACATAGACAAGCTCTTATTGAGAATTAACTGAGGTTTAGATGTTGATGATTCACTGAATGTTTTATTTGAAGTCACCAGAATTGTGATTAATGGCTCCTTTATTTGAGCTCTTGACCCTTTACTCTTCTTTCTTTTGTCTCTGGCTGCTTTAATTGTATTTTAATGAAATACATTTGCTATGGAGAGAGATACGTTGATCAAATGTTTCTTGATGATGTCATAATCAGCAAGAGCTGATCTGATCAAGTTTATGAGTATATGGATGGTGTGTATTTAATTTATTTATGTGCTGTTAATTATAATGATCTTGTGACACTACACCATGCTATCCAGCAGTGCAGAATAAAAAAGATGTGTCCTGAAATGTTTAATCTACAGCAGAAACTAGTCAAACACAGACCTCAAGCATCAGCGTATGAATCTCAACAATGGTGATAAACGAAATACTTAATGCCGCAATGCATGCTGGGAGTCATGGATGAGATTTGTACTATGGTGGCACCCAGCATGCATTGCGTTATGAAGCTTTTCATTTGTCACCATTGTTGAGATTCATACGCTGATTCTTGAAGTCTGTTTGATACCTTATACTGTAAGACTCTGTACCAACTATGTTTTTTAAAAGTAAGTTATTTGCAATAAGCTCACCTTTGTTAAAAATCATCTTTTATATAGTACACTTATTTTTCAAATAATAAACTCTTGCTGAGGTCAGCAATCTTACATGTCCATGATGATAACATTATCATCTGAGCATATTTTGCCCATGATTTTCTCTGCTGTTTCGAATGTGCGAAATAAAAACACATTTACAGCAATCAGAGAAAACTAATATTAAAGAGTCAAGGGTCAAGAGCCCAGATAAAGCTGCCACTAATGACGATTCTGGTGACTTTAAATGAAACATTCAATGAATCGTCAACACAAAACCTGTTAATTCTCAATAAGAGCTTCTGTAGAGTCTGACAGAAATAAAGTTAATCTGGTTATTAATAACAAGTGAAAGCAGCATTTGAAAAAGACATTGAAAAGAGGCATTATGTGATTGGCTGCCAAAAAACACCCATTAATCTGTAAGTTTTCATGAATTAAGATTACATTTATTTATTTGAATGTATTGCTTTATTTATTTTAGAGCATTTTATGGGATACCATATAAAATATACCTATAATTTTTCATAAACACAAACTCTCCTCCACTCAGTGCTATCCAGAGTTACATTTTAACACACATTGGGTCTCATTCATGAAACACGAGCAGAACGAATTTTTGTGTAAATCGTGTGTAAAGTGGTTCTGACGTATATTTTCGGATTCATTAAAATGTTCGTATTTTCCAAATGTTAGTTGGTACACAAGAAATCTACACCTGCTCCCAGCCACTCGTAAATAGTGCGCTTAACACCCGAACGTTTTGCTCATTAATAAGGCTGCATTTTAATTCACCTTAATCGGGTACATATTTGCACAGCATTTTGAAAAAAATATTATATATAGTAATTACATACGTTTTTTCTTATTATGAGAGCCAGTAATAGCATCTGCGATGGTGGTCCTTCTCCAATTTGAATACTATTTTTCCGAAGTGAACTAATTCGTTTTTTTGCTCTCAAGCTTAATGTCGAACCATTTTCTTCTCACTTCTGAGAATGTTCGATTAACAGATGAAACTCCATTAACTGCATCTGTAATATGGTGCCAAGCTTCCTTTTTTTTTAGGACCCAATACGCCACTATGTACGCTTGAAAATAAAATGTGGCGTTTTGAATGAACTTCTGATAATAAAACTTCAATTTCTGCATCTGAGATTTTTTTTTTTTCATTCGCATTCATGTCATAATATGATGCCCATATATAGTTGTCAGTCGGATTTAATGGGCGGGATTTATGGTAATTGAGAATGAACGTGCACGCGCATCCCATTTACGACTGATTGGAAATCATTAACACACACACACATTTCACTATCACATCTGACGTTTACGAAGTATTTGTGAATCAGGAGAAGAGTTTTTGGGAAGGTCTCTTTACGCGCAAATCACTCGCATATTTACTCGTATATTTACGAGTGTTTCATGAATGAGACCCATTGTGTGCTATAATCTACACAACATGTGTCAAAATGCTATCTACACATCACATGTGTTGTTTTTTGACATCTCTTTTTAGAGTGTAGTTCATATTTATGTACTGAGCAACAAAGTAGTTTCCTTACAGCCACGGTGAGCGTCAGGACATTTTGTTGTTGTGCTTGGTATCTGTTTGGATCTCATTATGAGGTGCAAACAGGGCCTAAAACTAACTTTGTCACACCTGCCAATCGCTGATTTTTTTTTTTTACTTTTGTACCAAATTAACCAAATTTTTTTTTTAAATAGGCAGTAATGACACCATTTTTTTTTTATTCATAATCCTCTATTACAATGTGATACCTCAGCTAAAACTACTAGCTTAACTTATATTCATTTAATAGCCTACATTTTAAAAGACAAGTAAACAGTCAGTATTAAAATAAGAATCAAAATCAAATTACAAGCAAAAGGACAAATAAATCCAATACAACAAAGATACAAATTAAATAAAGGGTACAATGCCCTTTTCTCAAGATGTAAAATAATGTGAAGTTTTAGCTCAAAATACCCCACAGATAGTTTTATATAGCATGTTAAAATGTTAATGTTATATAGCATGTTAAAAAGCTGTGTGGTGCCCAAACAGGAGATAATCTACCTGGGTCTCAGACTGTCCTGTATCAAGCGTTTCTGGCAGAGTAGCGCATCGGGTCCATTCACGGGTGTCTGTCCCTTTTTCAGAAAGGGAACAGAGTCCCATTCAGTCTTGTTTATGTATTCTGGAGCTGATGGCCTGCACAGTTTCTGTCATCCCACTGGCATTATTGCGAGCGAGAGAGTTTCAGCACTGGGTAGCGGCAAAGCGCTGGTGCCATCAACTCTCTGTCACTGGAGAGATTGTTATTTTTTCGAGTCAGAAACTCTGCGGAGGGCAGTTTATTTAAGAAATGTGTTGATGACTGATGCGTCTCTCTGGTGAGAGAAGGTGTGCCTTTGCTCTGGAACTGCCTACTCTAAGAAAGTTAAGAGAGTACGGACACACTCAGTAATACTGATCGCTGGCTGATGGAGATAATACAACTCCTGTGCAACCAGCCTTGGCCTCTACTGTTGTGCTGCGATGACCTCTCACAAGTGCACAGGGATGTTTATCATCCAGCTCTGGACAAAGTGGCTCTCTGGGGACGGCCCATGAAAGGTTAAACTTAAGAGTTACAGGTTTACGCATTGAAGCTGCTCTAGCGTTCTGAATTTTTTCAAACACCCTCAGAGCTTATGATCAGAAATGAATGTGCACAGACGCATTGTTCCTTTTTCTCTTTTCCTTTGTGGATGTGTCATGCTTCCTGCAGGAGCTTTTGGACAAGGGTAGATCCTTTTCTTTTCTATAGGCATATTTTGCTGCGATTTCTGCCTGCTATGTGGGGACAGAGACACT